GCCCCTACCGGTTTGAGGCACAAGTAGGTGCTCTAGTAGAGCGTTTTCATAGCTCAAAAACACCTCTAGGCGCGCATTTCTCGCTTCGGGACCTTGCAGAACAAGGTGTTCTACGCCTTCAGGGTCCAACAGGGAGATCAGCTTATTAAGCCCGTCCTGCATTTCCTGGATAAAATAGGAGAATTGCTCCAACCTCATATAGGATCAGTCGTAGCGACTCGGGTGTAGATTGACTACAAGTGCTACCACAGTAGCTCTTTTGCTAATAGGAAGCTTGATGAGGTCGGCGACCTTCATTCTATACTTAGAACCAGCACGAGTGAAACCCACTTACTCCAAAAGTAAATACAAGGCTATTTAACCCTTCCGTTTTAAACGTAAACTGTATATCTTGATTTCTTTTGCGGCAAAGCCGCCTATATATAGGTTTTCCTATCTATGTAGAATAACCTAATTAAGTGTATAATCACTGGCAGTCGAGCCACGTACTAACTTCCAGGGCACGTGAAATTCCGTTACAAGTATGTGGAGCCCAGTTATATACATTGCAAAGCCGCTCCCTGACTTCGAAGACCTTTTGAAAAGTATCGGTACTTTTGCTCTAGGCTGCGAATCGTCACGTCGCGCGGATATAATCTACTATCGACTTTCAAATTAGTTTCCGTCGTGCAAATTTTCCCTGCGTATTGATCCGTTTTAAAGTTGAAGACACATCAGTGTGGATGCTGCGGCGGCCGCGAAACTTCACATTTTCAAGCACGCAATATATGCATCAAATCATTAATTCGTCTAGTTCAGCACAAATACTGTATACAAACCCTATTCTTACAAGGTTATTGCGCTCGAAGTATGAGAGCCCACGGTAGATTATACTTGCGGCTGCACCCTTGAAAGATTTCTGCAAGTCTGTTGAGACTAAGCCATACACTTGTCAGTAACATAGATGTAGGAGCGCTGCAAAAAGCTGCGACGACTCCAACATACGTCTTACTTTTCTGCTTGGATAAATACATATCGCGCTGGCAATTTGCGCTGTAGTACACAAAGAGTCGCTAGTTGCGAGTGGTCTTTTCACATCCATTCTGTCTGCATTCTACTTGCCATATTTTTTTAACCAATTTATCTGATTAGCCTGCAAAGTAACGGGGTCACACATACCCTGGTAACAGGGGTATGTGTTGCACCAGATGGGCATGGTGTGACCACACCCAAACAAGAATACGGTATGGGGCTGGATAGCCAGTAGTTATACATGAATATAGATTTTACTATACATATTTAGGAAATCTATACATTCAAATTTAGGCGGCTTTGTCGCATATATAAATAAATAAAGTCAGTTTTGGATATTAAACGAAAGAGTCAATTAGAATTGGGTTGAGGCAATAATTACTCTTGGAATAAGCGGATTGCGATCCGCTAAACTCGTACTTGTTTCAAGTATAAAACGAAAGGTCGGAGACCTAAGTTACGCTTCCTCTAAGCGCAAAGCTGCGGCAGCCCCGCTGCATGCAACTATCATATCTGACACTTTTGGAATGCCGTTGTCGAAACTACTGCTACTTATTAGGCAACTCTTGAGCTTGATACCACTCAAGTTGCCATATCGAATCTTGCCTTCTACTCGAAATTTAAGTTTTTCGTAAACATTCATTAGCTGGGGTGTTTTTGTGGCTTCACAGTTCTAAATGCTAGAATTGTCGAGAACCAGGATCTGTTAAATACCCAAGCTAACGTCTTATTACCTTTTCATTCGTAAGCCTTTGCCGATCCGCATCACAACATCCAGCGCAGATAGCTTCGATATGATACCAAATCTTATTCTCAATTCTACTTGGTTTTCGGTTCGAGGTACGCGACTCGTCAACTCGTTCTGATTGCAAATTTATTCCGGTGGATGCTTGACTCGTCCTTCGATTCCTTATGAGGTAGATCTTAGACTGGCGAATTAAATATCTGTATCTGCTTGTCAAAAGCAACAGAGGCAATGTACAACCTCGGCATGGAGCTAATCCCAATTTTCGGTAGAGTCTGAACCAATATGATTTTTGAATTCTGTTATCCGAGCATCTGCCGCATACCACTGAAGCACGGCAACACAGCTTTAAGGGTCTAAGTCCATGCAACTTTCGCGGTATAGCAAATGTCAATGTGATTACTTGGTTAATCCATGCTAGTAATGTTAAGCTTTGATTTTTTGTTCAATAACATAAGACAACCAACCACCTTTGCAATCTACATCTCCTCTCCAGATAAATCTTTCTTTAGAATCAGCCTCTTTGTCATTTTGCACTACGAGCTTTTCAATTTGTTATGTTAGCAGGAGAGAAATGCTAGACACCTAAGGTTTACGAGAGGTAGAAGATCCATATATTCGTGGCGCTCGAGCCAAGAGATCACAATGACGCGGATTTATGTTAAAAATTAATTCATAAGGCAAAAGCTGCAACATTTTATTCCATTTGCACTAATTTTGAGGTAGTAAACCTTAAGAAATCAAGACAAGAATGTTCGCTGCAAGCTCAAACGCTTTAGAATGAGACGGCCGACAATACCAATAGACACTGTCCGTGGCATTTCCTCGCGCCTCGTACGTATTCAAAACGCACATATGTTTCTTGATGCAGTGGCACGTCTCCCGTGTCTACAGTGCGGCCACCAGACAAAACAGTTTCCTATGCGGTCTGATGATTCCAGTGACATTTTAACAAAGTGGGTGGGTTGCGGCCGGAAACAGCTTCCACTTGCCTGTTCCAGGGTTAGTTAAATGTCCGAAATTGATTCTACATGGAGTTAAAATTCAGCAATTAACAAAATTGTGTGACAATCAGGAATGTGCCGATACACTGCAGAAGAATCGTCCCGATTTATTAATACAATATGATAGTATGATGGAGGATACCGAGTATTCTGCCACACCTGAAGCCATTAAACTCTTTGCGGAAGGTTCGCAATGTAAAGTTTTAAGTGTAAACGATGTGACTACTAAGCAAAGATACTTGTTGATGCAGTTTTACAACCAGATCGTCGCGATAGTATTCAGTGGAAAAACAACATACACTTAACCTCGTGGACGGAATACTTCAAGCTTTATCAACCTGACGATCATTGGCTAAAGGATGTGAGAGCGCTGAGAATGCTGTCGTCGGCATATTCATACGTCATGACGCTCAGCAAGTTTCTTTCGGACTTGTTAGCTCCATACCATGCGGACAGCGAGAAAAAGGTTGATCTCCATATAATTGGAGCGCGTGCAGAAGCAACGATGCCTCGTTATCTTTGGGACGATCTGTCGTTCTTTCATCCCGGATGGCAATTCAATATCACATTGGTGGGTAATCACGTCCCGGTGATGCCGGCGCGCAATAAGACGAGATCAAAAGAAAACACTCTCGTTCAGCTTGAAATGACCAATGGACTATATCACGAATCAGTAGCGAGGAAATTGACAACTCCTGACGCATTTGTGATGTATAATCCGGGTATTGGCCACCCTTATTTGCGCGAAAGCTGGGAGCCTACTGTGCTGTCTGTGCTGGCGTCACGCAAGCCAATGCTCATCACATCATTCAACTTGGAAGATCAACAACGTGACATTAAGGCACTACAAAAACTAGTGGCAAAACTGCACGGATATAAGCTACAATTCCGATCCAATGCCGAACAAAACCCTTTTCGCAGCTTGAAGCTCCAAGTAGATCCTCGTAATGTCAAGCTGCCCATACAGACGAACAGCCGCGCAATGGTCGTACAATTAGTCCAAGCCATGTAAAAGGATTTGCCAGCACCGTAATGAACAGTGCAGTAGTTTAAATGCTCACTTTCACCCTTCCACACTAAGTTTGAGCACCGTTTTCGTTGCAACTGCCTTCTTGCGATTGCTTCAGCCACTGTCGCACTGCTTCACCTGGTCTTGCGTATGCTGTACCTGGGCTTCGTTCGTTTTGTATGTAAGATATGGCAACGTAGAATTCGTCTAAACGCATTCTCCAGTGCTCGAGATCCTCTTTTACTCCATATTTGCTCGAATTTTGCATCACTCGACAAAAAAGCGTGCGTGGGTCCTCTGCAAGCTTTCCACCAATGTCCATCATGAATCGATCGAATGCGATGACATTAATTCCAATTCGTGAGGTGTTGCCTTCTTTGTTGGGTGCTGAATCTGCAGCGTTTGCATAGTACTCGAATAGAGGCCAGAGGATCGCCTCAGCATCGATCCCTACAATGAACAATCTCGCATCTATAAAAATATCGCTCTCAGCGAGTAAGCCTAAGTCACCAAAGAAAGTCAATAAAATTTCGCGAGCTGAAAGAATTGGATGAGGCTTCTTCTGGCTGCTTGTCAGCGATCTTGCATATAGCTCAAATGCACAAGAACCAAGGAGAAAGCTAAAGCCCTGTGGTGTGAGAAAGCCACCTTCAATATCACTTGCCACGCGGAATCTATTAAACAGGGACTGAACGCGTTCTCTGGTTAAAATTGTTGGATGTAGTTTAAAATCAGTGAGCATACGAATAACTGCAGTCAAGAGAAGATAATGCTGGCTTCCAAGTGCAGCAGAGTGTTGTCCACTAGAATATTGAACAACAAGTTTGAGCGTCGATGTGCGAAGAGCGAGAAAAAGGTCGCGCACTTGAGGAATGAGATGCCAGTTTGAATACACTTCCATTGAGATTCCATGCGTTGCTTCACTGGATGTAAAGTTGGAGCCTGCATCATGCAAAGCTAAATTGGTTGTATTTTCACTTTCTATTGCACCGAAAGAGTGCGACGGTGATCCTGGCGGAAGAAGCGGATCACATTGGTACTCAACAAATGGCGAGCTACTTACGCTTCCTGTCAATGTTAATTCACTTGTCTGATAAGTGTGTTTCAAAGAGGCTTTCTCCATAACAGCGCGTTCGACAACTGCAGTCTCATGTTCGAGCACCGCTAGCAGCTTATCTCGGTTTTGAAGAATGTCGTCGCTGAGGCGACCCGCCCACGAGGCACGTGAAGGACATAACAGCAAAGTGGGACCATTACCACTAGTCCCGCTGACATTGACACCCCTAAATACTTTTGCTTCAGCGGCGCCACATCTGCGACCATAAAATGCTTCAAGAAGGAAGAGTAGACTTGCCCAAAAACGTTTTAGCTGTTCGTGCTTCAGTTTACTATCCAAAAAGGTTTTGGTGAGATACTCATTCAGACCATTTATAAAATCTGCAAAGAGAAGGCCACTCTCCACTGCGTATGACGGGAGGCTTTTGGCCAAATGTTCCGCAAGTGACTCCCGTTGAACAACATTTTCCTGAAGTAGTGATGAACACTCGAGCATACGAACAAATGAGGCCAAGGCTAACCGAGGCGATAAATTTACATCCTTCGATCTATCACCAATGCGACCTACGTCGACAGCAACAGCACTGTCGGATGTTGCGTACAATTGAAAAAGTTCGCGAAGATTACTCATCGCGACATCTTTGCACAAGACAAGCAAGTTTAACGGCAGGACAAGGCCATCAGATTCCACATATGAAGCCAATTGAGTTTTCAAAGCGTTAGCTTTCTCTTCAAGCATAACATTACGCTCTTCCATGCGGCGATAGCGCTCTTCTTCACGCAGCAATTTTTTAGATAGGGCATCCACAGTAATCTGTTTATCCAGCGAGAAAAATTGAAAACGCTCAAGGTCGCTGCGCAGCACACGATTACAATCATCCAACGATTTAGAATACTTTTCTTGCTCTGCCGCTTTCAGCTCTACCAGTTTAACATGCGATTGGAGCTCACGAACAGCAATAGACTCTACTGTTTGTATTCGCCACTGCGATAACAAAGATCGTAACCATTTACGGTCAATATCACGAATGACGGTTGCGACATATGAGTGCTTTGCAAGCTGCAGCTCTGATGCGTTTTTCACCACCTTTTCAGCGAGGCGTTGGACATCATTACATGATGATTGAAGTTTATCTTCCAGCTTTACCTTCGCGCGGGATAATGAGAAGATACACTCTTTTGACTCAGTCAAGTTTTTTTCAGCTTGATGCAAACGCTCGAGACCGCCATTCTTTCTGTCGTGTGCTGCTTTAAAATGTAGCATCAACAACGCTTTTCGACTGGCCACTTTCTTCTGACCATTCAAAAGCAGCCTTAATTTTGTCAATCCTAATTCAAACGATCTAGACTGGACAACATGCACATGCCGGATGCTTCTCCATGTTGAGAACGATCTTGCTGTCTGCCTGTGTTCACAATTATCCAGGAGCCGGTTCAGGTGCGTCATACCAAGCATTATGCAATGTGCTCTATTGTCTTTCTTTGCGGCATCAAGACTCCATTGAAATTTTAACAAAATTGACTCATGATTAAAGTTTCTTGCGGCAAGGCAAAGCTTTCTAAAAGCTGCAGCTTTGAGTTTTACGACACAATCGTGACTAGCATGGTATATCAGAGTCAATGCTCGTGTAAGGGCTAAGGTCGTAATTTGGGTAAATCGGGACCACTTGAAAACCACAGAACGAAGCGTATCTTGTCTCTTCAAGCGCAAAAGTCCATAAACCACCAGACATTGCAAACGCCGACGTTCGGCAAATTCGCTCTCCTTCGAAACATGGTCTTTTCGCACTAATTCCTTAGTAAGCGACTCATTTTCAGCCGACAATTTTGCCAGATTTTGAAATTTGGTCGTCTCACACGCAATCTTCTCCAATAGATCTGTCTGCAGCGAGTGATTTTGCTCCAAGAGCTGCTTTATCTGCAGCTTTAATTGTTCTTCACTCTTGGTGGTGAGTGCCAGCTGATCGCTAAGTGTCTTGACAAACTCGTTGGTGCTCACAGCCTGAATGTCGCGATTTTGCGTCATTTCTTTAAGCTGACGATTCTCTCGCTCAACGGCATCCAAGTGAATCAGTTTCTCATTAAGCTGCTTTATCCTTTCATTTAATTGCTTAAACTTTAGAGTCTGATCTTTGATACATTTGTGGTCATCCGCTGAATCGTCTCGAACCTTCTCGATCTCGGCTCGTAGCAATTGGTTTTCGTTTTGCAAAGTTTGATTTTTCTGCTGCAAATTTCGCTGCAGATGTTGAGTTTCGACTTGCAATTGCTCGAATCGCGATAATAAAACAGGAGTCAAAGGCGATTGAGGTGAGAGGTCAGTGATAGTAGTAAACATTGGTTGCGAAGATAACAAGGAGTTGGTCATGGAAGACACAACTGATGTCTGAGGTGTGACCGAAGGTTTACCTTCGTGCGTGTCTTCACTGGGAACGTTTGCAGTCAACAAATTCTCAGACATAGAAGTATTGTCCAGAAAGTGCCCGTTTTGCTGCTGAGCCAACGAGTCTCCGTGGCTTAATGGCAACGCAAGTTCTGATTGAAGTGTCGTGATAATGTCGTCGAAACGACCGTCCGTTGCTGTTGACTTGGACTTTGACAAGCTAGAAGGTGAAAGCTCATCGCTATTGCTGCTACAACTCGAAGTCACTAGATTCTCTTCTGCGCGTTTCAAGTCTTGCCACATCTCCTTGCGCTTCCATTCATCTAAATAGCGCAATGAGGTTCGCTTTGTCGTGTCATCCAAATCCGATACTTGCGGTGGTCGAGTCATACCTGAGGATATGTAGTCTTTGCTCAAGAAAAATTTTGTCGTCGTGACTGACGGGGGACTAAAGCAAAGGGTGTTTGCTCTTTTGTATGGTAAACTTGATGGAGACAATGGTGTCAGCGAAATTCTCGACAACGAGCTACTTTTACCAGTTTCATTAAGGGAAATTGTGTCCGCGATCGGATGAATTAAAGCTGGTGCACAAGACTCTGAACGTTGTCCTTTGATTTGTTCAGACATAAAGCCATTAGATTCTAAAGCTTTAAATCCTGCGAGTTTCGGAGACGATAGACTTAAAACGGGTTTACCGGTGGCATCAACTACCATAAGAGATGGTGTTGTCTTCAGTTCCTCTACCTTTGACATAAAAGCTCGCCTTGACTGAAGCGAGCGAATTGATTCATTTTCATCTTCCAACTTTTTCGATGCCATTGAGTCGGCAGCATCTAATAGATAGTCGTCCAGCCACGCATCCTCAAAATCACCGTCACTATGGCCATTATCTTTGGATCGATCAGATAAGGCGTCATCACTACAAACTTCAAAATCCTCGGGCGCAGTCTCCCAGTCCGCACCATTGTCGTCTGTCAAGTGTTGTTTGTCATCATCGCTGTCATTAAGATCCGCCATGTCTTCAGAAAATGCGGAAAGCTAAACAAGGCGCAAGTTTCTCACGCCTAATTCAGTTGTAAATAGTCTACAAGGTTGCAGCAACACCAAAACAGGTTTATATGCGCCATTTTAAGACGGAAGATTAAACGGACGTCCATGCGCCTTGAGAGCATCTAATCTTTCACTATATATACCCTGGAAGTTAAATTCAGCATGCGATCAAGTAACGGGATCAATACTATTTTATCGACTTTAATATCGCTGTGATTTAAAGCTAAGCTCATTAGCATTCTCATGCATGAACAATACAAGCGTCTTAGTACCGCTTATACCCGCTCGTTGTGACGAACCACTGTGTCTGGCTTGCTTAGATAAGTTTCTTGCTTTTAAAAAACTTCTTAAGGTACATAACCTGCCATATGCCCATACCGAGCAACACAGCGATTGAAAAAAAGCTAAACCAGAGCACCCTAGAATTGGTCGACTCATTTGTGTTGCGCATCGTGGCCTCACGCTCGCGCATATAAAGCATCTCGCGATGAATTTCTTCCACGGTGTCTTCCATCTTGCGTAATTCTTTCTCCACGGGCATGAGATGCTCACGTTTTGCCACTTCTGTGTAGTCCTTGGCCTCCACACCGTGTTTAAAGTCGAGCATAACACGCATTGGCTTGTCATTATTGTTTACAAAGCATACAGCATAGCTACCACCAGTATCGGCAGTAAATGAAAATTTGTGAATATCGTCGGATGATGTGTCGATGTTGGTATCTTGCTTGAGAAATTTCCGCAGTGGATCCGTGATGGATAGCGCAACACCAGACTGACCGCGCACACCACCAATCACATCGTAATGTACCACCACGAGGCTTCCCTGAGCCACTTCATCGCTGAGGCACTTTTCAGATCGGCGACGCACGTCAAATTGTACCGCGTCTGAGGAAACAGCACTTACTGCCAGCAGTAGCAGCGTCAGCCCCAACGTCATGGCCATGATGTCCCCTTTTGTACGTACAAGGATTTTGTTCTTAAAGCGATAGGACGATTTCATGAACTCTTAATAAGAATGATAATGATACAACGGAGGTTTCTTGTGTAGCAAACTTTGACGCATGCTTTTTGGCATTATGGATGAAAAAGTATTAAGACGAGACTCTGGTGGAGGTCCCGATAGGGTGCGTATGGACACTTCACTTCGATCTTCGAGTTCAATTTCAATTTTTTTAATATGTTTATAGGAGTGGTTTCAGAAGGAGAAGCAGCGTATTGAGGATGAAATTCGAGAGGTTGGTAGCACTTTGAGCAACAAGTGGTGAATTTGGATTGAGAATGTCTCTGTTCTGTGCACCGTTGTAGGGAATGCAAGAGGCTGTGTCTCATGTCCATATTCTAAACCAAAATTTGGAGCATTTGAACGATGTGGTACGTCGTTAGACTTTGAAGTTCCTCTTTTGTATTTTTCCATATCAACAAAACGTGACAGGGACAAGAAGTGGTAGCTATTTCATCCGTGTGGGTAAAATTCTTGCGTCAAATGACAACGACTAGCGACAAGGTCGGTTAAACTTATGGAGGAAAATTAATTCGACGTTGTTCTTTCACATAAATCAAACAAACGTTTGGTAAGCTATCCTCTAATCTAAAGTTGTGGTGATTGTACGGGATTCCGTTGCTGTTGCTCTTGTTGCAACTTAGCTGTTTTTCGCAATGCGGCAAGAACTTTTGCCTCAAACGCCAAATGTTCCTCTAATGATATAGGGCCCCTAGGAAGAGTTGACACGTGACGACCCGATGTTGTTTCAATCACCGGCTTGTCTTCTGCAGACGTAAAACCGTCTGTCTCTACAATGTGGCCTTTGATTGAGACCTCACGCCAGCATATCTTGTGTCCTTCAACGCGTACGGCACTTGCAGCTGCCGAGGCTTCAGCAAAAATGACCTTTGCAGACGATGTCTTCATCTTGATTGTTTCAATGGCACCATAACACCGTAGATCTCTGCTAAGCGTGTCATCTGAGTGTGAAAATTGATTTTTATTCCATTTGAATGTAACTGTGCGCTGTGATCTAGGAGCGATGTTTGCTGCCTGTGACTGTCTCAAATCATCTCGTCGCTTCGTTTCACGAGCGACACGATTGTACAGCTCTTGCTGACGAGCCAGCGCTTGTTCCCGAAATTTCGACAGGTCAGCCTTCTGCTGCTTGAAATTATTGTTTTTATTGCGCTCAGAAGCCTTCTCTTTCCGCAGCAATTCTATGTAAAAGCACTCTTAAAGTCAGTCAATTCTACCACTATCAAGTCGAAAGTATTTGACGCACCATCTCGCATTCGTTTACGCTTTTCATTGAACTCTGCATCACGTTCGCGCTGCTGTTTCTTAGCCAATGCCTCGCGTGACAATTTTCTGTCATATACTTCTTTCTTTTGAGGGTCCAACAAAATGTCACGTGCATGTGTCAATTCCAAGAACTTTTGCACTGCAGGACAAAAAATTAGCCGGTATACACTAAAAAATAGTTCATCTGTGGCTTTTACCGTTTCCACCACGGTCAGGATGATGTAATATAGACTTCTTTTTGTACGCGCGAGCAACCTGGCTTTTATCCGCGGCAGGTTCGAGGCCCAAGATCTCGTACAGGTCATCTCGAAATTCATTATCACCTACCATAGTTAAGCGGTCTACTTGATAAAATTGTTATGATTCCTTCGAAACAAAACGATAGATGATTCGACAAATTTGTTTTTTATTTGTAATTTGATTAGTCGAAAACGAGTTTTCTACATACTTTCAAATAAAAAGCCAGCTGCCATTTCGACGTTTCCATTGCAAGTTTGCAGCGCTTGAATGGCCTTTAAAAGAATCAAAGCGAGAGGTTAGCATCTTGTTCACGCATTAAGAATGAGATTTTCGTACCCGCTGCTCAGTAAAGCCTAATCCCACAAGCTGAGCGATCTTCTCCTGCTCTACGTGGTTTCTTTCTACTTGAGAATTGATTGGGTCAGCTGCAGCATTAGATTCTGGAATTGAAGTCGAGACAGGAATGCCGCCTAGTGAAGCGGGAGGCAGCGCAGTAATCGCTCGTTTTTCCGGGGAGGGTATTTCCTTGATAATATAACGTCAGTAAAAGAGTTCGTCAGCTGCATTGAGGAAAAGACATACATGTTCCGGTAAGAAAGGAACTTCATGAAAGTGCTCGCCTTCGTGAAGACGCAGCACGTTTTTGTTTAGATCTATGCAGCACTAAGCAGGAAAAGAAAAATCGAGTTGATGCACAAGTTAGTCATGGAAAGAGTATGGCACCACAAGCATGAGAAAAACCTCACTTGATGTCGCCTAAGCATGTCCAGGCCAAAAAGAAAATCAACACCCTGCTGATCTAAAATTGTAAAGCTGCAGTTGTAAAACTCGTCGCCGACTTTTAAAGGTACCATGTGCACTTTTCCGATTATGGTGGCCGTGCCCACACCCACTGCCTATCCATATAAAAGCTTATAAAATTCAGGTCGAAAGTAATTGGCTTTGTTCACATTACTTGTCCAGCAAAACGCTTATCCACTAGCCGCATGATGCCGCAACGCTCCGCACAGCTCTTTAATTAACAGCGTAAATGTGAGCTCTAACTGCTGGATCGTAAAATATTTTAAAGTGTGAGTACGTGTAGATCATACCGATGACATGATGGTCGATTGGGCCCCCGAGTCGACAAATGCCTTTACTTGCGTTCCGTTAACTTCACAGGGAATAAAAAGCATCGTAACATTTCCAAATGCCTCAGGCATTTCCTCAATTGCAATTTCCATGTTTTTTTGAACATTCGACAAACGAATTCGCTCAGCAATTTTAGCCTGGGCCTCAGTATCAAACGGATTGCGTTCCAGAGCCTCGATCTCTTGCTGTTCCTCAAACTTTTGCGACGCAGCCTTCATATACATTTGCATCAGCGCCATGCGCACATTCTACAAAAGTGAAATGATAAAGAGAGGAATTATTGTCGTCTGCATCCAAAATTTTGCACAAATTGACGCACCGATGCGTTTCTGGTCTCAAGTGCTGTCGCCAAGTTTGGATTAACTTGGTGTAGCTGCATTGCAACATAAGTAGCATCAATTTCAAAAGTTTTCCACATAAACCCACAATACCGAATACCTCAGGTAAAAGCTGTGGATTCATGTTGATGATATCAAGAAGTATCTCTGGGTTGGGATTGGCCTGCTTGAACGCGAACGTTCGCATTTGATGATCTCATATCTTTCAACCTTTAACAATAATAACCCACCGGAATTTCGTGCAGCTTCATGCCCGGGCGTGCGGTAAATCCTGTTGTAGACGAGGAATCAGGCCTCGCAGCTGATGTAGCCGATGCCTTGCGGATAATTACGAGAAGATCATTTTCTTTCACGCCTGCCTGCTCGAACTATTGGATACGACCAATAATAATTAAAGCCACGAGTAGCACGAGCTTGTATTATAGATTTACCGTGTAGTCAAGCCGCAGCGGATTGCCATTTAAAATTAGCACTTGCTGGTCCGCGGGGATACCGAACTTTAATGCAGTACAGATTGAAGGAAACTAATCATTTCTATATCCAGCTGTAAGATTTTGCTGAACACTCACCTGCTGTTGTAATTGCACGCCTACAGAGTTTAGCTGTTGCGTGGCCTCAGCACTGACCTGAGTCACTTGTCCGCCATCAGCCGATGTCACCGTCACTTGCATCCCGAAAATTAAGAGCTAAAAAAATGTGCGTACAACTTTTGTGATATTATATGTATCTATTTACTTATAACTATTTCTTCTTCAAGAAGCCAGATATTTCTTACTTTCTCAATCCCTGCTTGGTCAGCATCATTGATAGAAAAGGACATACTTCAAGCCAAAATGGACTCAGCAAAGTTTGTTCGATCAACTTACGATCAGAAATTTACCATTCTTTCTTGCAACGCGACCCATTGCACTTGTTGTCGATTTCTTTGATTCTGTCCATGAACTATAGAGGCTACAAAATGTGCTATGTATGGGGTACGCTGAAGATATATGCAATCAGTAAAACTTGCTGTTTCTTTCCTCTTCATCCTGCTGCAGGTTGCAGTGCATTATTCACCGAGGTTGGGTTCGTGCACTTCACTAGTAGCGACACTATGAGTTTGTAGGGTAAGTGACTACATTTTTAGTTCGCTCTGCAAAAGCACTAATTCTTGTTAGATCAACACAAATAAGATATATAAATTCCTGAAAACGTACTTTGTGCGAAATGTCCATGGAGTTGCGTACAGGCTACACAATTCTTAAATCGGTCCGACGGATTGTGTCCAAATTTTTGTATGCACAAAAACCACGATTACAGAATCTGTTCGCGATTTTGTCCAAAACTATGAATGATGTAGCTTGCCTATCGTTCGACCTCTTGCCCCTGTTACACCTGAGGCGAATGCCCAGCCGTCGACTAAGAGGAGGCGCTTAGGTTTGGCGTCGTCTAGCAAAGCCAGTCGAGGAAGTGGCTTCACACAGCAAAAGGTGCACTCGCTTTTTCATCTGCTCGATGCTAGTCTCCCTCTGTGTACCACAGAATCGGACGCTGCCTTTCGTGAGCACGAATTAAGACATCCTGGTCTTGGACGAACAGCTGAACATTAAAGCGAAAGTCATGTAGCCTCTTGTGCCATCATGTAATGGGGTTACGCGTACCCTGGTAACAGGGGTGTGTGTCACACGAGATGTGCATGGTGTGACCACACCCAAACAAGATTACGGTACGGGGCTAATTAGCCAGTATTTATGCATGTATTTAGATTCTACTATTTATCTTGAGGAAAATCTAAACATTTAAAATTAGGCGGCTTTGCCGCAGATAAGAATAAATAAAAATCAGTTCTGGATATTAAACGAAAGAGCTAATTGGCCTTGGGTAAGGCAATAATTACTCCTGGAGTTAGCAGATTGCGATCCGCTGCACTAGTCCTTGGTTCTTGTAAAGAACGAAAGGTCCGTGACCTAAATTAAGCTTCTTCAGGCGCTAAGCTACGGCAGCCCCGCTGCACATCAGATGTGAAAAGGGCAAACGCATTTGGTATAAATTGACTGATCGTACTAAAGTGGGTAAATCTCCTGACCAGAAATTTAGTCTCTTTGAGGAAGCAAGCGATAATAGCATCAAGAATATTGCTCCGGCGATCATACATTTCCTGGACTTCAAGAGGAGCATTTTGCTGAGACCGCAGTTTATTTTGACAAAGCTCAACTGCAGGGACCTCCTTCCCATTCAAACACAGAAAGGATTGGATCGACAACGAGGCCACACCCACTTTTTCGTAAGAGTGGGAAGGCAGCTGCCAATGTAGATGCGATTTTGAGAGTTATGAAAATTCAAATTTTGCTGCAACAAGAAGAGCACGCATTGGAACGCCGAAAACAAGAAGGCAAGATGATTAAGCGTAAAGATGAACATAATGAGGAGCGAAACTGTCGAGAAGACGAAAAATCACGACACGAAGAAGAGTGCAAGGAAAACAGATTACGTCGGAGAGAAGAGCGTAAGCAGATGATAATGGTGATTGCAATGCCTTCGGCTCAAAAATTAAAGACTGGCTGTGTGAGAAGTTCATTATAAATTATTTCATAGCAAGATAATTTGCTTTAAGGCTTAAGCGCGGCATATGCGTTGTTAGAATTTGATTGAAACCAACAAGCCTGAAAGGAATTATATTATTTGTAGAATGACTTCTTCACCGTTAACACACACAAGTCGCTCTTTAGTCCTAGGAACATGCACTTGAAAATCTCACATTGCCCAATCTGCATTTTGTCGTACTGATGTAGCTTGCTGAGCCCTAGGAACTTCCTCGCCACCAGGTGTGATTGGCAAATACCGAGATGGCTTAATAATCATTGGGTAGTCTAGTCGAGAGAAAGCCAAATGTACGATCACACGAGCTCTAAGCCCCTCGTAGGGTACAGAGAGGTTGAAATAGACATTACCAAATTCTTCAATTTGTAAATCCTGCGTTGCCTCAGGCGTTGATAGCTGTCATCGATATGACTCCGCTACGCAAATAAACAATAACATTTCCAAAGTAATGATCATGTGTCCAATCATTGCCAAGCATATTCTGTATAACGGCGTCGCCTCGCTGCCTAAGTTATATCTGCATCCTGTCTGAGACGGTCTAAACGGTTGGGAGCATCGAATACTTGGAAAATGGGCGGCTTAGAACTGCTCAATTTCCCAGTCTACTTGCGCGTCTTGATGGGACGTCATGACAAAACCAAAATACGTCGTTTGAGCCCAAGAAGCAGTGACCATTTCAATGTAGACACACCAAAAAGCGTACCCAATACCATCGTGAAGTCTCGAGGTCATCTCTTTGCTAACTTAAGAGCTAAGCATGTAGCAGCATCCAAAAGTATCCGCCGACCTTGCCGCGCTCCAGATTGAGAAGTAATATATTCAAAGTTTGAAATTTGAGGTAAAGTCAGTATATGATTGTTTGAAGACCTGAAGAAGATTTCTGAACGCGCGATGATCCAGTAATAAATGGCTGATTATCCCTGAACTGAATGCATACTCCATGGAGGATGGAGCAAAGCTCAACGTCAGATACAACGATCACGCCTTCAACGTCCTACTGTTGTACTGTTGTAAGATATATGCTATTTTGGACTCACTGTTCTCGCTGCTGCCGGCGACTGAAAAGATAGAGTAGTAAGAGCAGTTGAAGCATGATTTTTTTCATTGTCTTTCTTTTTTGGGTTGCCTACCCCTCCTTAACTAAACTTCATGGTTTCCATAAATACCGATACTCCGTGAGCTAATCCTATTTAAAATTACATCAAGTGTACTGTCTCCTACTTGATTCACTGCAAGCGCAATCGTCACGTCAAACCTTCCTCGAATCACGCGAAATTTTTTCGAACACGCACGATAATGGCTTATAAGCTGTCCGAATTCACTCGCTGCGCAAGTGCGGAAGATTGACTCTCGTTTGCGAGTGTCTTTTCGCTATAGATAGAGTGAAACGAGCGTGAGTAGATCTTGCTTTGAGCCCTTTCTCACCTAACAAATCATCACTTTGCATAGGCACCGTATGTGCTTGAATCAGCAGCTAGTAATTAAATAAGTATCATCCACAAAAGATGTATCCTGGTAAAAGTTCACGGACAACGTACCTCAGCGAGGAAAACACGCCGACTCACCTGTCTTTAGGCTTATGCAAAGTTTTGCGAAGGCTGTGATCTCTGGAGGACGAAATACGAGCTATACTTCACCTGTTAAGGGAGATCTAAGCAAGCTTGGTAAGCTTATGTATACTGTCGGTCAAAAGGGGACCAGAAAATTGACATTCAATGGTCAGGTGAGGTAATCGCTCGCCTGAAATCATTTGCCAGAGTGCACAGGCGAAATACTTCTAGCCACTCGTCGTTGTAAAAATGGATATCACCTACCTTATGCCGCATATTAGGAGCGTCCAGCCTTTTGACGGCAGTGATACAGATTATTTCTCTTTTTGAATGCAGGAAAGTTGAGTGGTTATGAAATCAGACATGATCCTGCCAAACCATCAATGCATTACTCTCGCGGTACTTAAGCTAGGAGGCCGTGCGCAAGATTGGATACTTACTTATGTGGAGAGAATTCCAGACATCGGGGGATTAAAGCAACATAGGTCTCGAGGATTGCACCGCCTGACTAGACGCATTGGAAGCGCTGTAACTTCTTGTCTAGCCGTCAAGGGAGTCAGGAACCAAGTGAAGAGCAGACTGACGTGTAAACAAGCAGCCTTGTAGTGCACTCCCACAGTGGTAGATGAAGACAATCTGTCATCACAGTGACAAGAACTGTGATATCCATTACCGCTATGACTATGGACTATGCCGATGTGTTATGGGCTCTTATCGCCTATGGTTCTTTTCCTACGGCAGTGGGTTACTATTATTATGTAGGGTCTTCGACAAGATGTTATTCGCACCAAGACCTTTCGCTTCCACCCTCCCTCTTTCGACGAAGAAATAAGTGCTGCATCAACATGTTCCACGTGCTGCGCGGGCGGGATGGGGTACAGATGTTGGAAGCTTATGAGAGCGTCAAAAGCGATAGACCTCAGCTATGCCTAGAGCAGGGATAGAGAACATAGAGGAGTCTTGGATCCATGTCAATCTGTAGTATTCATAGACGCTGCCTCTGTAGGATAACTTAAGTATGCGCCTTGCGTGCCGATTTCTCACTTGGCGAAATGAAGAACGACCGGGCTACCGCGCAGAGTTGTTTGACAACCCCTCGCAGAAAATGCCGAATCCGAGTGGGACAGGGTTGCCAAATGGAAAAAGAATCAATTTTTACTGTAGCTCGTGAAGGTCAAAGCCAATGGCTCCGAGCTCTCAATTTATAAACATTTCAAGTCGATGGGGGGTCCACAACACAGAAGTGTTAGCAGTTATCATATGCGTTGCAGACTTTGTGAAGCAGTGGAAAGCCCTGATAAATTTAGGGGTATCGTGAAATTTTAGACAACGCGCAGCTGTTAAAAAGTTGTCAATTCGTAGAGGCGTCAGATGATGCACGGATATAACATCCCAATAAGGATATTATATCCGTGTATCTTGCGACGGTGACACTTGTGAAAGTGTCGAAGATTCTGTTGTACCTTCAAGTCAATTTGAGGATCAAGTCAGCGTGGCACGCTGTCTCGTTTAAGAACTTAATTTGAGTTCTATGAATAGTAGGGATCGACCTAAAGACAAAAAACGTCGAGCGCGTGTCATTAATAGGGATGGATTTTTGTATGACGCTCACAACCTACAGAGCAATTAAAATTAACGAATAAGTGGCGAGAAAGACTATAAACTCATGAATGGAGTTGATGGGGGTTTCGATTTCTCCGGCAGTTAAATTGTATTTTGCAGGATTCGGGCTGTAAGAACTTTCTTTAATACCTCTGGCAGAAGCTCTTACTGAATCAAATAGAACACTTAGGGCTGATTGCAAAGAAATTCAAGACGGTACAGTCATTAAAATGCAGTTGAAACCGCAGGAGGAGCTGATGTCATCACTGGCCGTTCTAGAGACCGTTTTTGAGAACAAATGCATCGAATTTAGTGTGAAGCGTGTGTTGGCTAACCTCAAAGACGCTATAGATCATTATCACCATTTGAATTGATGACAAGAATCCTACCACGCGGATCAAGAATTGTGTCAAGTAAACGTCATTATTGTCGAAGGTATTTATTATAGGCCCTTTCAGAGAGCAGTGTGACGTCGTTGTGCATTTTTCCTTTGCGGATTACAAAGCGGGTTGGAGAAAGAAAGTGATTTTCTCAGCTTGGCGCCATCTTTCTGTATCAAAAAGGATAGCGGCAAATAAGAATTGTCCATGCTATAGGTCAAAAGATAGCCACCCCTCCGGCGCAGCCGCCAAAACCCAAGATTGATGTTATTCAGAACAGCATTATCGGTTGCACTTTGTAAGGCACTGCATCGAGCAACTTGAAATTATGACTGGGCATGGCGCAAACATTTCCAATTATAAAAGGGAATGTCCATTCATCTGCCCATGGATCTTCAATGAAAGTGTCAAAGCACATCATTCATAAGCCTTGGCATGGTTGATGGGTATCCTCAATTTCTTACAAAGGACAGCGACATCCCTCGTATCGCGTTGAGTGCACAAAGCAGGATTTTCTCAGAGAGGTTGTTGATGCCATGAGAACTGTCGAACGCACACCAGCGACATTCAATGCTTCGGCGACGTAGCTGTTGAGGCTTCATCGTGGCTAAAGACAAACCTATTCTAGCAATACACCCGTCCATTTTCGTGAAATAACGGAAAATAGGATGTGGAGAACCACAATAAACAAACGCGAGCAGAGTTTGAGTGAATGCACTTATATAAATTGCTTGCCAGTACAGCGGGGAATGTAGCTTTTGTGCTGACGGTTCAGTGTATAGTACGGCTTAAAATTGATTCCACAAGATAACGGCTATCGTAAATTGCCCGATTCCTCTGTTCCAAAGAGACTTACGGAGTTGGCTTAGCCTGACCAACTACTTGCACAGGTGATGAGCAAATTATGTCCAAACAGCCTATCAATTATCTCGTCTCAAAGAACACAAAATGTTGTTTGGACACGGCAGAAGAAACGGCCATCAGGACTGTAAGGAAATCCTCGAACCTGACCCAATTCTGGCTTATCCAATTCGAGATCAGCCATTCTGAAGCGCATGTAACGCTTTTGCCTTTTTAAAAGGATGACTTTACTACCAGCAGATGTAAATGGAGTCCCACGTAAATGCAGGCCATGGCTCACAATTGTGTGTACGTGTCACCAGCTCAGAGCGGTGATTCACGACAAGGAGTATTTACAACGAGGTATGTTATTGTCAAGTTCACGTTGCAGTTGTTTAGTTTACAGCCGCTTTTGATCAGAAACAATCATATTTGTTACGCACAGCGATGCCGTCACCCCATGTCTCGAAAGGCTTTGTCCCACGGATCTTGCTAGTCGCGAGAGGACGACATCCTGCAACTCATACTCTTCAATCGAAGCCTGCTGTTCGCAGCGCTTGATTTCGACTGTGGCGATTTCCACCGACCCGGATTTTGCCTTGTGCAGTGCGCAAACGAATACTTTAGCGCCTCTTGACTTTTACACCCGAGAGTACGAGACGTTTTGCAAATGAAGAAGATCATTTGCCTTCTCCAAGCGAACAAAATTGCTTAGAGCTGCGGAGGCTTGGTGCAGCTGCACAAACTCCAGCAAGAGCAGCTTCATGTCTGGGAATCGGGGCTGGCGCTGGTGTCTCGCTTTTTTACGAGTCATTTAATCGGTAGGTGCGACGGGCGGTGTGTACAAAGGGCAGGGACGTTTAGTGGGCTGCGACGACGCGGGTGGCCGTCGAACAACCAATTGTCTTGCCGAAGTCGGATAATACCCACAAAGTGAGATCCTGGTTACGGAGATATGGGCTTACCTTCGCGTAGGCAACCAGCTCATGATTCTGGCTGCAGGTCAAGCTTGTGCGCGCTATAATGCGAATAAAATTGCCTTGCATTTTTGAGACCTGCTTTTGGAACTGCGATCCGGGACATCTATCCATGCTTCTAGGGTCATGTGATCGTATATTGTCCAGCCGTTTTGTTTTACTCGGATTTGTATGTTGCTTTTTTCTGGGTGTCACGGTTCATCCTGTATTACGTAATATCAAGCTAGCTGTATTACGAATACAGCGCTCCTAATAAGCTCTAGGTGCGGCACCTTAGGGATGACCGATATGCGTTGATTGATTCAAAATCTTATAGCTAAAGCTTTCTCTGTGCAGGTACGCGGCAACCCGCTGCACCACAAAGACTACATACAGCAGCAAAGAAGCTCACGGCGCTCTTTCAATCTGCTCCTGATTAAAAGTTTATTTCATCCCCTGTTTACGAAGTCATTATGATGACAATGCTACTTTTCCACGCGTACAAGTAACGAGCTGCGCAACGCTGGCGGGGTAACCTGATGGGCTTGGTACGTTGTCGATTCAGTGTTACGAGACCACAATCTCCCGTGTTACGAGACCACAATCTCCCGTGTTACGAGACCACAATCTTCCGTGTTTCTGTACATTTACTTAATTCACACACCGCACGTATTCTATTCGCACGAACAAGTAAGTAATATGAATCTACAGATGGTCATATGTTTTATGTTGTTGGGGTCGATATGAGACAGACAATCAATCGTACCCAGAAAGATCGGCTACAAGATTCCTTATGTCCAGCATATCTACAATAAGTGCAAGAGCTGCGATCGAGCCAGAGCTGTCGGCGCATATTGTAACTCGCACGCTTGATTTGCCCCAAACTTCTGGTCAAACAGGGTTGTGTCGTCTTTTATTTATAGTATTATAAAAATTAGCCCATGCCGCATTGTTGTCCACGTACCAATTCATTTTCACTAAGTGACGTCGAGTTCACAGCTTCGCCGGAGTCAATGAACACCGCTGCAGTCATGACACATTCAGACGAAAGTACCACGTTACAAAAGAATTGTTTTCACTCGTCAAAGTCGATCCAGCATTTACTTGATAACAACAAAAAATGGCGCGAGGAGTTAATGCAACGTGATTCCTCGCTCTTTGATCGTACTGCAGAGGGCCAACACCCTCCATATTTATGGATTGGGTGCTCGGACTCACGTGTCCCTGCTGAAGAAATCACGGGATTGGATCCAGGCGAGATGTTTTGCCATCGTAATGTAGCCAACCTCGTTGTGACAAACGACGTGAACGTGCTCTCCGTTGTGCAGTACGCAGTCGAGTCGCTTAATGTGAAGGATATTATTGTATGTGGGCACTATTGCTGCGGTGGTGTGAAGGCTGCAATGGAGAACAAGCACATTGGAATCTTAGATACTTGGCTCCAAACTGTACGTGACGTCCACCGTGAGCATAAGGCAGAGCTTGATGCTTTGCCAACGGAGGAAGCGCGTTACCGTCGCACAGTCGAGCTCAATGTCATGCAGCAGTGCTTGAACATATTCAAAATGAATGTGGTGCAACATCGCCTCGGACGTAAGGACCAGCCGAGTATCCATGGCCTTGTGTACGATGTCAAGACTGGTGCACTGAAAGAGCTCGAAGTTGACTATTGCGGATACTTTGCTAAGCTCGTTGGTGTGGATAGTCTCCATGCATTTCCAGACGGTGAACCTACCATGGGCTTGGCTCACCGACGTCGTAACGCAATCCTTGATCTTGCAGATGGTCTAGAAAATGAACCTGGTATGGTTCGGACTCGGTATATGGCTCGCATGCTCAAGCGCGAGGCAGATTTGTTCTCACCTGAAGAAGTGGACGAAGCCATCGCAAGCATCAATGGGCAATTGGATGATCCTAATAATTGTTTCATAAACATTAAACATCTCATTGCGTACTTTGCTCCCATGACACCGAAACACGTCGAGTAGAGAATTGTCATAAAAAATAAATTGAGCATTTGCATTCCCAAGAATTTTATCAAGTTTTTTTTTACTTGCTCGAAACGGATAAAATTTATTAATGCATTGACGCACCCCACCATCGCACTGATGTTTGGGATGAGTTTGGTAAGGTATTTGCTCAGTCTGCAACGACAAAGGGCTCATACGAATTTTTACTTCCTGTGACTCTTCTGCCTCAATCAACACCCTTGACTACTATGGTAAATGCTGGTGGAGTTTCAGGACATGGCCACAGCGCTTGCTGCAAGGATCATGACTTAAGCTCAATTCAGCACTTGTTAGATAACAACAAAAAGTGGCGGGATCAGGTACTTCAAAAAGACCCTCAATTTTTTGAGCGAACGGCAAAAGCTCAGGCACCACGATATTTGTGGATTGGATGCTCTGACTCGCGGGTCCCTGCTGAGGAGATTACTGGCCTGAATCCTGGAGAAATGTTTGTGCATCGTAATGTTGCCAACCTCGTGGTAAGCAACGACATCAACACGCTTTCTGTAGTTCAATTCTCTGTTGAAAAGCTGAAGGTAAAGGACATTATAGTGTGCGGTCACTATGGCTGTGGCGGTATTACGGCAGCTTTGAAAAATGCTCAGATAGGACTGCTTGACAATTGGCTGCGTAATATTCGAGACGTATGTCGCACACACAAAGACGAACTCAGCCAATATACTAATGATGAGGAGCGTGAGCGTCGTCTTGTTGAGATAAATATCCAAGAGCAATGTCTAAACATCTTCAAGATCAATATGGTGCAGCGACGAATGGGTCTCTACGGTAGTCCACGTATTCACGGCATGGTGTATGACATTCGCTCGGGGATTTTGAAGGAGCTTGAAGTTGATTATCACGGCTTTATTGCTAAGCATATGGGTGTATTCACTCTCCACAGTTTTCGAGATGGGAAAATTCCAGTTACTAAACCGGAATTTCAGCGCAACATGATCTTGAACCTGGTGGAAGATCATGAAGAAGATTCAGGCAAAGTTAGCATTCGCTACATCTCTCGCATGCTTAAAAAAGAAGTTGAACTTTTTACAGAGGAAGAAGTGGACTCAGCTATTAACGCTATACAGGAACAGTCGAAGAACCCTGAAAGTATGCTTGTGGAAATCAGCTCGCTTGTATCCTACTTCGCAGGCAATGATACGACTGCGTAGGCTGTTAGGTTGAAAGCAACAATTTAGCAGAAGCCGCTTAACTTCTTTAATCTTCAATCCGCTTGTGGCGATTTGTTGTCAGGCTAGACCTCATACTTTAACTTAATATTACTCTGTTGATGGGATTGCTGCAGCAATGCATTGGCTAGCAAAGGCTTGAGTCCATTGTGCTGGTGCACGCACATCTTTCCGCTCAGGATAAAGTTGTTGATAAAGTTCTACCATTTTGGCATCAACTTTTCCCGTCAGCTCGACTACGCGCTTGTCTGTTGGCACAATACGTTGAAGAGCATGGATTTCTGCTAGAAACTTGTTCAAGCCCCCGTAGCCCAATCGTCTCCGTGATGCCCCTCCTTTCATAACAAAGTCACGCCACCATGGCTCGTCATCAAGCATTTCGCAGAGTAATGCACATAAGGACATGACAACAAAAGACTCGTGCTCTTCTCTGTCATTGCCATTCAAACCAACTTTCTTTATGGCAGTATCGCAACTATTCCGAATGGCCTTGTTTAGCTGGTTGTTTGTGAAGACGTCCGCAAGTTCTTTTGATACCACATGGGCAAACATTGAGCACATGACAGTGCCAGAAATGTCCGGGAGAGCTTCATCAAAAAGTTCTAGATCATGCCAGCATAAAGACATTTTCATTTGTGCTTGAGCATATCGCTTCACTCCAACCGTGATTAATCTATCCCACAGAGTTGCGATCTGAGCCAACAAATTACATTAATTAGAACGTGTGACCTGTAATGCGCAACAATGGACCCACATGATTTTCAAAATCTCGAGTTTGAAAAGCAATTTTAGGTAGGAATTCTCGTAGAATATTTGAGGACCGAGCGGCACAGTCATCTTGGATATAGGCAATGTTCGTGAGAATACCAATGATTTGTTTAGGTCGCAACGACGATGAAAATTTGGGTGTTTCTAAGAATTGGAGTGTTTCAAAACAATATCGTACAAGCAGCTCCTTGGTCTCCCAAACTACAACTTGATGAACCTCTGCAAGACTGTCACATGAACAAAATGTTAATCTCCACATGAAATGAATCTGTCAATGCCTACTTTGAAGTAGCACAAGAGGGATTCATCACGCGCTGTGCATCACGAAGAAATTGCTGCACGAGCGTATAAAGAGATCGTGCGCTCTGTGTCAAAACGATTTCTCGCTCCGCTTTGTTCTCAGGATCGCGAATCATCCGTGACGTCATTTCCCATCGCTCGCGCTTGATCTCTTCTCGTACTGTGTTATTGATAGCGACACAATAGCTCCTGAAAAAAGAAACGAGCCCTCGAGCTAAGTACGGGGCTAAATAGTGAGCAGTAGGTAATCCTGCCAATTCTAATTGTCGAGCACCATAAAAAACGTATCGAAGCGCACTTGATACATACTTTGCAACACTCTTAAACTCGGAGATGTCAATCGCCACACAGCTTGCTGATGTAGAGGGTCCATCTGAAGCAGCCGTGCATCGTAACTGAGACGCATCCGGATCATCCGGAAATATATGGTAGGTAACTTCACTCGCAAAATGCTCAAGCTGTGCGGAAATCCAAACAGTTAAGGATGTAAAGTGAGAACTAGTCTGTCCACGAAAGCTACAAGACGATCGATATCAGAACTACATAGCCTCACGGTCAATCTGGCAGAAGAAAACACTAACCTCTGCTCGAAATCTTCGTAACACGCCAAGAGTGACGTGAAGAAAGTTCTTGCGAAATTGATAACGTAGTTTAAAGCATTTCCATAAGAAGGCACGTGTCGTAGTTGAAGTGCAATTCGAACGGAATAGTGTTGCAAGCACATGTTAGTCGCTAGCTGCGTTTTACCTAGCTTAATTAACAATTCCAGGTGATTCTCTTTCTTGTGCATGCGCTCTGACGTCTGTAACGAAGCATTAAACTCTTCGACCAATTTTGTAACCAGTAACTGTCGAAGCCTGTCAATCTATAATGAAATATGCGACTTCAACAACACTGCACCAGAATGCCGTATTCAGCCAACCAAATACCTTTTCTTGTTGCGCATCCGGAGCAGTCGCAATTCCTTGCGTCTCATTTTGCTTGTACTTGAGCATTTGCTTTGTGAACTGCTCGTAGTTTCTTTCATTAAGATATACCTCGAGATCGTATATAAACTCATCAAGCGCCAAAGTCTGCTTCCAAGCTTCTGCTTTCTTGTCTAGCGCCCCGAAGTCTGAATGTGTTTTGATTTCTATGCACTCACATTAAAAATTAGACCCGACTCAAACCGGCGTGATCGCTATAACTTACCAGGCGGAGGATCCAAAGTGACCCCTTTGAGAGTAGACATGCTTCTTCGACATTCCAGAACCAGCGTCTTGAGCTGAGACACACTATTTTCCATACTTTGGATTTCATCTGCTGCGCAGATGAACGAGGTGTAATTTGCACTAATTTTTTCCTTTAAATCTTCAATTGTGCTATCCTGTCAAAGCATACAAGCAGCTATGTGAGCTCAAGATCATCACACCAATTGAGTCAAAATCAGTGCAAACTTTTTGAGCAACGAGCTTATTGCAGTGCGCGTCAATCTTTAACGGCGAATGTTTTCGCAAAAAATCCTCTGCATACTTCTTTGCGCTAAATCGATCATTGCCCATAAGAATTGCGATCGATGACCCTTGCATGTTTGAAAGGTTCTTGGGTTGCTTTATCACTGCATCCTCCATAAATTTATACCTTTCGGAGTCCGCAACGTCGAAAACGTGCGATTTAAATGGTATAATTAGCTTAAGGTCGATGAGAGCTTGTCCGATCTCCTGAATCTGTGCAGTCAATAGATACGGCATCGATTTTTTAACAAATGCAGCCACATCTTTTGACGAAACGGATTTGCTAATCTGGAATTGCCGTGAGAAATATTTCTTCATTTGCTCGTTCAAAGCTCGAAGATCCACGTCTTTGATATCGTGGATACTGCTGCTACTCTGTTGATCTCCTTTGCTATCATTTTGCATCTCGTCGGTCGTCATACGCTCATCCAGAGTCAAAGTCTCTTTTTTCTTTAGTGGTACAGAGCTAGATCCGGTTCCCTTCATACCTGATACTGAATCTAAAGCTTCTATCCATGCATCTCGATCTTCTGTGCTCTTAGCTCTGTATTCTTTCTTCTTCCTATACAGCACGAGCGTAAAAACTCGCTGCTGTGAGTCATTAGAATTTTTTTGAATAGAAACGATCTCCATGGTCGCAAAAGAGTTTGCCGGCTCTTTGGCTTCTAACGACTCAAAATACATTAAATGTGTAGGCGTGAGCACGAATTGCCGCTTCGTCCAGTAGCCTGCACGTCGCTGGTGTCAAGATAAAGACACGAACAGTCTTAGTTGACCAATATGTCAGTAGACACATGGTTAAGCTTAACGTACTTTTCTTTCAAGGATTCCATCGCGGACGGAGATGCGCAGCGCTTCTGAAGCGCTCACCATGGCGTCGTATCTGGAGCGGAACGACGCTTCGCTTTGACTTCAAAAGAGCATCCCACAATTGGTCAAAAAAATTAAGTGTCTTTAGATAATATTAATTAAAGTTGCCAAAGTCAGCAGGTAAAGTCTTCAAAAGCCTCAAAATTGTTCTGATCCATGGGAGCTGAAGCAGTGTTGAAGTCACCGAAATCTCCGAAATTAATTTCTTCTTTGGTATTCACAGGCAACACTTCGTTCGCTGGCTTCGTTACTGATGCCTTAATTGAGGCTGAGCTCAAATCATCATAATCGCCCAATTTAGAATCATCAAGCACCGTAGGCGGATGCAGCGAGCTGTCGCTTGGATCGGCTGCCGGTAAGATTTTGGGCACATCTGCAGTTGAGACGGAAGCAGTATTAGCATCTGCAGATGCTTCAAAATCGACTGATCCAATGTCACTAGTCTCAGCCGCCGTTGGTATTGCAGTGTTGTACGTAGAGACAGGTACAGTACCAAAATCTCCAAACGTTTCAAATTCAGAGCTAGAGTCATTGTTGACCACAGGCAAAAATGATGGGTCAACTGAAAACTGACCCGACACGAAGGATGAGGAGGATCTATTTGCTGACGTTGATACCGTGATAAACTCACCAAATTCATGGTGATCATTAGTTTCTGAGGCGACGGGCGAGAACGGCGACTTTGTCATTATTTCCGGTGCATTTGCCGGCACAGCACTTTTTCTTGACGCACTTAAGTCACCGAATGCATCATGAGCACTACTTATTGAAGCAGCAGCGGGTATACAGGTTGGGGAGAACAGCAGATTTTCGTCCGATTCTGAAGACTCAAATGTTGCCACTGCTTCGTTTAGAGCGGCACCAGCATCGTTTACTGTATTCAGCTCGCTACTGGGTCTATCTGTAGCTGCTGAAGACAAAAGTAACACTTCAGTAGCAACATTGTCGGTAGAGTTCGGAGCGGCCGCAAACGCATCAAAATCCATATTTTCCATAGCAGACGGAGTCAAGAAGGGCGAGCTTTCAAATGCCCTAGAATTTGCAGCAATGTTTGCAGAAGCACAAGAATCCGCTTTCAAGCTTGTCGCTACACCTGACGAAGGCATTGTCCTAATCGAAGAGTTTTCAGAATTACCAGTATCGAAAGAAGATGGGGCCGCATCAAACTCACTAAAGCCAAACTCGTCTGCTTCAGCGCTTGGTGCGAAAGACATATTGCCTTGCGATGAGAGACGTACTTGGGTCTCAGCTGAAACTGGAGCTATACCAAAAGCGTCAAATCCAGAACTGTCATTTGCATCAACAGAAACTAGTGTCAATGGCAATTTAGCAGGACCTTCCCTAACATTAGCTGTTAGTGATGTCGTGGCGTCTGCGGGATCAAAGCCACTGAATGCATGGAATCCATCGTCTGCAGCAGTATTTTCTAACGGAGACGGGGTGGGCGAGAGCAGCAATCTAGATGAATTCTCGACAGTCGATTTTGCTATCGCACTGGTAGCCGATCGCGGAGCTGACTCAATGTTGCTCAAAGGATCAAAGCCACTGCCGTCGGTTACAACCGAAGAAAAAGCCGATATGGATGGAGCAGAAGGTGCTGCCATCGGAGATGGCAGACCTTTGGAGTCGTCAAGAGCAAATGGGGCAGGTGCATAGGCATTGACCACGCCCCCGGCAGCACCCACTGAATCAGACGTTAACGCTCCATTAACAATCATTGAAGGGTGTGAATCAAGTGACAATTTTTGCTGAAGTTTTGCACTTAGAACTGCTTCTTCTAGCTCGCCTTCGTAGCTAGAAATGTCAACCTGCAATTGCTGGATCACCTGCTTCTGATTTTCTACGAGACTTTGCAAAGAGTGTATCAAGACGTGCTTCATTTTGTCTTTCTCGACATCTTCATCAGCCCCTGACGTAAAAGCCGTTGAAACACGCAAATCTTCCCGTTTCATTACAAGAGTAACTAATTCGTGACGCAGCTCATCCAGATCCCGAACCTTCTCACAAATACCCTCAATAGTTTTTTGCTTGCGCTTCACGCCAGCAAGAACCTGAATCACTTCATCATTCAACTTATTAAGCTGGCCCACCATCCTTTTGTTTTCCTCATCACCCAGAAAGACTTTGTCTGAACTATTAACTGACGGGCTGCCAAAATGTTCACAATCAAAGTCTGCATACATCCGCTGGGATGGCTGGATTCCAGCGGCAGGAGTATGAGAAACTTTTATGGACTCATTGCTACCAAAATTGCGAGAATTGATCCGATTAGCATACTGGTGGGTTGGCAGCGGCGCCACTCCGGTAAAACTAGACGTTGACTTCACTGTCAATGCTGGGTTTATACAGGTTCTCCCACTGATAGTGTCAGGCACTTCAGGTGTCGAAATGTTATGAAGCCCTCCTGAAGGTGTGGATGCCGACTTTTCGCCAGAACCTCCCGCATAATTGTTCAGCGCATTACCACTAACTGGATTTAAAGAGCTTGCTTGCGGTTTGAAAGAGGCAAGACCAGGTAGCGGGGTATCTTCAACAATAGAAAAAGAATCAAAAGCAGACATACCCTCTGGCTGAGGTGGTGGTAAACTCCCTTGCTGCATTTGAACCGGTGCATCATGTTGCGACGGAATTCTTACATTATGTCGCTGAGAGCTAGGAACGCCATATTGAGTCATATTCTGAAAAGTTCCACCGGAACTAAACGCTGTCTCACTAAGTTCGCGCGGTAATGTCGCCGGCATAGGCAAGCCGCGCTTGCTCACGCAGACAATCAAGTGCATAGCCACGTAGAACTCTTGAGCGCTTAATTTGCTATCTTGCGTGATATCAGCCATCGACCAGATATTTCGCAACACCTACTTTTTTCATTTTGTTATCGTCAAGTTCATATTTTGGATGACACTTTCTTAACAAAGATAGGAGACGTACAATTCGATCTAGACCCGACATTTGAAATAGCGTCACTGCTTCACTTCCCATGATAAATCCGTCGCGATCAGTGTCATATTGCTGAAAAATATTATCATACTTGCTTTTTTCATCTGCCGAGAGAGCGTATGGTCCTGTGGGCGTGGGCTGCTGCTGCATAGAACCACAAAGCGGTTCAATAGGGTGACTTTCCTGTGATTGAATAGGCTGTTGTTGAATACTCGAAGGAGGTGGCATTCCATCCATCATTGCAAGTGGGTACGACATTGCTGCAAATTGACTGAACCTCTGCACCGATACCTGTTCTCCTCTTTGAATCATGCTGATCAGTCGCATGGCTACGTAAAACTCATTTCGCGACAGCTCGCTCCTTTGCTGGGCATCTGCAATGCTCCAGATCTCGCGTAAGGTAGAACTATCTAAGTGTGAGCGCGCAAAAAACGCTACCGCTTGCTGCCCACTTATGGCATTGCGGTGCTGGTTATCCACGTGTGTAAAGAGCAAATCGTAGTATTGCTTCTCTTGGGGCGAAGAAGGCACCCACGCATGGAGAAAGCCACTCATACCCCCGTTTTGATTTGCATAAGCACTTGCACTCGCATGAAGCTGCTGCTGCGGATTGAACGGAGCATAGTGATGCTGCGAGGGGTTCATGGCAAGGGGACAATAAAAAGGAGTTGGAGCTGTGGGAATCTAAATGAGGATAAAACGAAACGCACTTCGTATTTTGTCGAGTAAATGCAACTTATGAAGAAGATAAGTTGCCGCAACGAATTTTCTATCATTTACTTTCTTGCTTTCTTTGTACTGGCGTCTCCTCCACGACTTCTTCCCCGCTTAGCGACGGCAGCGCGGACGATCGGGGGCGGGAGGCTCGCTGAAACAATATCAGTAGAGTTAACGTCGAATCTGATGAAGTGGACCATTATAAGCTGTTAACAATAATACGTACCATTGGTAAATTCAATGGCAAAGATCTGGTTAATACCGACAGCAAGTTGTTTAATGGGTGAAAGGCCAGTAATTTTCGTAGGAACATCCAGTGGTGTTTTTTGTGACTCGCCTAAGCCAAGTTGTCCAAGCTGATTACGACCCCAAGTGTACACATCATTTGTGGTTGTGAGCGCCGCTGAAAAGTCATCACCACAGCCAATTTGTTTCACGCTATTCTCGACTCCAAATGTGGAAATGTGCACTGGCATCTCCACACAATTATCTTCTGGGGTATCACCACGTTTCACGCCAAGCTGACCAAATTCGTTATCACCCATTGCAAATAAACGTCCGTCGGTCAAAAGCACGAGAGTATGCTGAGCACCGCAAGCAACGAGCTTGACTGTATCATTTTTAAAGGCCTTAAAACGGACCAAGCACACTTAGACGTTAGACTGGGTTGCCAAACTACGCGTACACACCTGGACAAAACGAGGTCGTGGAACCCGGAACTGCGAGCGGAAAAACTTCGACTGGCCTGCAACCGGTAATGGTTTCGAGTGTCCGATTTGACCTACCGTATCGAATGTTTAAATATTTAACTTAGCAGTGTAAACGATAATGAAGCATATTGGATGCGACAAACTCACCGCGATCGCCGTATCCCCATGTCCAAAGACTTTTGGTTCTGAGCAAAAAAATATAGAAAATATTGATGATACGAAGGCTATAAAGCAAAATGACCAAAAATTTGTACCCTCTAACGATGGCGGCAGCATGTGATCGGCCAGCAGATAATAATGTGATGTCACGACCAAGCAAGAATTCTGTCGGCTCATCGATGTCCCGATTTTCAGGCTTTACACATCACCAACATTCAAAATTAGGAAAATGTATAGCATGTTGCCAAATATAACTTCGTCTTACGCTGGTGAAATCTGAAGCATCATTGTTAAGAAGCTGCGGAACCCATTGATTCTTGTTGGACGCATCACCAAGTTGACCTTGACTATTGGAGCCCATGCTCATAAACACACCTGGTCTTTTGGTATTGAATTGATCGTTATCGCCAGCATCTTTTGTTGTCATGATAACAAAATCACCACCACAACATGCTGATGACACAGGTTTTCGTGAGCATGTCTGTTAGTCGAGGTATAGACATGTTCATTGGAGCAATCGCAGGCATACCCAGATCGACTGGCACTTCAAGTTCTCTTAAAGCAGAAATCTTCTTGGGCACTTTCTTATTTTTATTATCCTGGTGGCCTAGCTGTCCGACCTCACCATTACCCCACGAGTAACAATGACCTTCAGTCGTTATTGCCAAACCGAAATTGGATCCAGCATGAATTTGGGAGAATCTACAGCAGCATTGAGGAAAATGATGTCTTTCATCAATTGCAATGATCAAGTAGAAAATTGTCCGTACCGTCCTTCACCTTTAGAGCGCTTCTCTTCCGTGACTGATTCCAACTACATGAAGATGTTGCCAATGCATTAGGTGCTTTTCTCATTAGCATTATAGTGACAGCCATCTTTACCATGCGAAAGTGAGAAAGCTTCTCGTGCACAATATCCTGGTGCCCCAGCTGACCAGAGAGGCCTGTTCCAACGGAGTACAGGTTGGCATCATTGCAAAGTACATACGTGCACGTCTCGCCGCAAGCAATAGACAGGACACCAATGCCATCGAGCTCGTGCACCTTAGTAGGCTTCCATATCACCTTTGCTTCGTTCTCCGGTAGTGCCAACTGAACAGCCAACGATTAATCTGCACTATTCTCATAGCAAACGTACAGCCACTAGTTGCATAGACGTACCTGTCCGTCCTCATTGTCTCCCCACACAAATACGGAGGACACTGGAGTTTTTCCCTCCTCTATAAAGCCATTTACAGCCGCAAACTGTCAGATTATCATTCGGCAATTTAGAAGCCATTGGCCAGCATGATATTACGGCATTACACACCCAGCGAAGGAATGCGACCAGCACAAAACTTGCAAAACCAGTCACCCTCCGGGACCGCCGGCTTGCGTGCAAAGTTGTTGCGCGGTTTTGTGTTGCAACATGTGCAGCCTTGGACACACGCGGTGTGAAAGGCACGATCGCACCCGTCACAAAGAACTAAAAACTCTTCATCGTCCTCTTTACCGCATACGCGGCATGCGTCGGCGCTCATGGTCATCGGCGCCATAGTCAAGTGAAACTCCTGGACAGTTTAAAATGTACGGCGCCGATCGTGTGGACCACGTGATTTACTTAAGAGGTACAAATGTAGACACTCAAATTCATGTTCAATTGCAATGGATAATTTGGAATATGTGCATGACTCAAACGCTTTAGTTGTTTTACTCAGCACAATCAGCGAGAGCGTAAAACAGCAACCATATGATCGCCCTTGTACCCAAGCTGCCGTGCTGCTTGGCCCGGAGGTAGAATAAAAACCTTAAATCCTTGAGAATCCATTTCTGCGGCTCCTCCTGCGCGGGCGTGGCCACTTCGCCCCTGAATAAGATAGTCAACAAATTCTTGGTAGCCGCTCGCATCTGCCATCGACTCGGGCTTTAATTCGTACACAACTCTTCTAACGTTCGGGCGTTCAAGCTGTAAAAACTCAGGCGACTTGCTCAGGTGAGGCAACATCACTACATCTAGATACATGGGCCTACACAAATACAAACAAAGCGTGAGATTTGACGGACCGGATACCAATTGCGCGTAATATCGCCGACAAGTGACATACAGTTGACGGTTCAGACCAACTGAAAGGGAAGTAGCACTACAGCGGCACTTGAACTTCCCGCTTCTCTTCAAGTCGAAGTTCCACTCGCTTGGAGTCTGTGATGAGCAAGCAAGGTTCGGATCGTAAGGATCTCGTGATGCTTAACAAATTCTGCTGCTCAAGCATTTACTTACGACAATCGGACGAGGCTCCATAATTCGAGGACTATCGGGCAGAGGTCCAGGTCCATTAAATGGGCGCCTCATTGTGTCGAATGGAGGACCGCCACGCTCCCAGCTTCTGTCTCTCTTGCGCATCATATCACCTGGCGGAAGTGGTCGATTTGGACTGCGGCTTTGACTACGTGGAGGATGAATGCCTGGCGGTCCATCTCGTCTTGGCGAGGGTCTGAAATCAGGCGGACCTCGGTTGTCAAAGTGGGTCCGAAAGCCGCCGCCGCGCATCGGACTAGAGGGACGTCCCATTGGCGATGTGCCACTACCTCTGCCATCAAACGGAGCAAAAGGAGGTCGGTTGTTAGGACCTTGTCCGTTAAAATCACCGCGTGATGGACTTCTAGGTCCAAATTCGCGTGGTGGACTTCTAGGTCCAGGTCCGCGTGGAGGACTTCTAGGTCCAGGTCCACATGGTCCGCGTGGGGGACTTCTAGGTCCAGGTCCGCGTGGAGGACTCCGCGGGCCGGCAAAATCAGGGTGACCGGTAGGTCTTGGAGCAAAATCATTGCCGTTGCCACTGCGTGTAGGACTGTATGGGGGGACTCGAAATGGACTTCGACTTCGACGAGGGCCTCCCATACCACGGCTGCCGGCCATGCCACTACGGGGACTACCTTGTCCAGGTCCTGGACCGTCCAAAAATCCTTTTTGTCGTCTCGGGCTCATTGGATGGCCTCGAAAATTTAAGCGAGGTGGAGAACGTCCACGAGGTCCGTTGTTGTTTGATGTATCACGTCGGGGGCTTCCATGTCCACTGGCAAAATTATTTCGAAGTGGGCTTACGGGCCGGTTAATCAAGCTTTCACGAGGTGGACTGCCAGGTCGTCCATTCAAGCCGCCACGAGGCGGGCTGCCAATTCTTGTATTCGGACCATCGGGTGGTGGGCCACCAGGTCTTCGATTAAAGCTATTACGCGGTGGACTACCAGATCGTCCATTTAATCCGTCACGAGGCGGAATACCAGGCCCTCCAATAAACCCACCGCGAGGTGGGCTACCAGGTCTTCCGTTGAATTGATCACGAGGTGGGCTGCCAAGCCTTTCACTCAACCGTCCACGAGGTGAGTTGCCAAATTTACCATTAGAATTGTCGCGAAGTGGGCTTCTCGATCGACTCACAATTCCGTTCCGAACAGGGCTACCTAGTCTTTCATTAAATTGACTTTTGAACGGACTGCCAGGTTTGCCAAAAAAGGCGCCGCGTGGGCTTCGTGGGCCCGAAGGTGGACCGTTTGAATCATTCCCAGGTTGGCATCCTTCGTTCATAGGCATTCCAGCACGACCCCGACTTCGGCTGCGCTCTCTCGGTGGTTCACTTGGACCACCCTTCGTCAGAACAATATGCTCATTGTTAGCAATCTTCTTAGGTCTATGAACTCGCATCGCTGCATACTGCTCGTTCGAAGACGAATGCAGTGGCAACGAAACATTTGACAGCGCGGAAGCATGAGCAGGTTGGGATGCAGAAGTGGAAGGAGATGTTGGATTAGGAGTAGCAGGAAAATCAGCAGTAGTTGGAACAATTGTCGAAGCATCAACAGTAGGAACAGCAGCAGAAGCACAAGAAGTGCCAACAGCCGTTAGTTTGGTGTTATCTTCAACAAGGGAAAAATGTAAAGACGCCTCGAGCTGCGGCGTGTCTGCCGATGCCAACTGAGACTCATATTTTTCCTGAGAGTTTAATTCTGGCTCTGCATGAGCAGCAGCAGACAAGCCGCTACCTGAGGGTCCATTGGTACATGCAACTACAATATCTTCGTTACTAACCACTTCTCCAGCCTCAAGCTCTAATTGATCTGCAATATCGCATAAAAAAAAACCATTGTATTAGCTTGCAAGAAGTTTAAGGTAAAATCATATAGCCCTTGAGATCATTTTCGCATGAATCATGAGCATTACCCGTTGAGTTGGAAATTTCCATGATTTTATTTCGTGCGGCATTGTCTTCATCTTTGGGCAACACATTATTTTTTATGTTGAGATACTTGTCGTAGATGGTCTCTCCACCACTACGCCGCGTTTTGTGCGGTGGCACGATGTCAGCGTTCGAGTCTCCGCCTTCCATTTTTTGTTGACGCAAAAAGAACAATATTTCACGTGGGCCACACCATATCTGGCACAATTTTTTGTTACTACCTTCAAGTAGCTTTAGCTCTTCAAGCTGATAGATAAACTGTGCTGGTGCTTTTTTCAGAGAGGTTAGTTACAATAAACAAAACGGCATTTGTCTTCTTTACAACTCGCTTCGTTGAGAGAGCAGACTCGCCGACAGTCCTGACAGCATAAAAAGCAGCTACATCGAGAGCGTGCTGTACTTCAGAGAAAGCATCATGTCTCGAGACTAGTGCGTTTGCTTCTTCTGGCCCTTCTCGCTGCGGTCTTTATGCTCATGATGATGCGGTCGATATTTATACTGCAGTGACCATTTATTCAAGCTCGTGCTGATTGGCGACTCGGGCGTCGGTAAATCTTGCCTTTTGCTACGCTTTGCGGTAAGTACATGTCCTCGCAATATAGTGGCCTTGATACCTGCACAAATAATGTTGCGAATCGATAACTGATTGATGTAATTTATGTATGCAAAAGGATGACGCTTTCACAGAAAGCTACATCACCACTATTGGAGTAGATTTCGTATGTGATTCGGGGATAGTGATGGCTCCAGCAGATCTAATATCGGTATTTGCAGAGATTTCGCACAGTGAAGATTGACAACAAGACCGTTAAGCTACAAATTGTGAGGATGACTAGCTTTTTAACAGGTTGATAATTTGTGACCTCGTGTGCTATTTTTCAGTGGGATACGGCTGGGCAAGAGCGCTTTCGTACTATTACAAGTGCGTATTATCGTGGTGCTGACGGTATTATTATGGTCTACGATGTCACCAGTCAGGTAAATTGATCTGATATGCTAATGAAGTATGTATGATATGATGATTTGGAACTTTTTGCAGGAATCGTTCGATCACGTTAATGACTGGCTAAGTGAAGTGAACCGATATGCAAGCGAGGGTACATGCAAGCTTCTCGTGGGCAACAAAAGCGATATCAATGACAACAAGGCGGTGTTGTATGAGACGGCCAAGGCTTTTGCTGACAGCTTGTCGATTCCGTTTCTAGAGACAAGTGCTAAAAATGCGCAAAACGTAGAGGAGGCTTTTTTGACAATGGCTTCTGAATTGATCGCGATTCGTGAAATGGTTGGCGAATCCAATCGGCCCACAGGCTCTAAGGTGAGAAAGCTGGTTATGCTGGCTGCAATCTATATGTCTGACTTAATTTATCACGGCACGAGAAGTTGTTGGACAATGCTAAAAGCGGCGGCAACAATAATGGATGTTCATGCAATTAGCTCCTCAACGACGTTTACTAGATTGGTGCTTGCTTCACAGTGCTATATAAGGCATTTGGTACTGATGTGCACTAGCCGAACGGCATTTAAGTAACAAATGCGCTTTCAAGTAATATTGATGCTGCCTATTCTTTTTATGCAGCGACATATAATTTTCTTTGCAGTATAGCCCACACAGAGCAGGTACATCGATTCTTAGTGGTCGAAGTATCGCACGAGCTTTTCAATGTTGACTGTCTTGCTGTCAGTCTCACCTTCCTGTGCTCTGGCAATGGCACTGTTGATCTCCGTTTCGCTGAACAGAATCGGTTCATTGGACATAGCACGTTTCACGTATTTTGTGCTCACGCGGCCTGGCTCCTCTTCGTGACCTTCGACTAATGATCGAATCATGTTACCCTGGTGCTGGGATCGACGCAATGGAGCATCTCCTTTCGGGAAGGAATGGAGCTTGTAGATGGATTTATATTTTTGAACGTACGACTGGAAATCAATGTCCATCTCATTCAGCTGGCCGTTCTTAAGGTCGTACACAAGGCCGTGAATGCGTGGAAAGCCGTACTTGACTTGATGGCGTTGCACTAGCCCAATCTTAAACACGTTGATGCATTGCTCAATCGTGTTAAGCTCCACCGTACGACGCAAACGTTGTTCGTGGTTTTCAATTCTCTCCAATTCATCACTATGAAGCCGGACGACTATAGCAAGCACACAAAACAAATAAAACACGAGCTTTACTCAACATACCAAACAGATTGCGTCTGACCGTCACGAATATTGCGCAACCAGTTGTCTAAAAGTCCTAGATGCTTATTTTCCAAAGCAGCATTGACACCGCCACAACCGTAGTGGCCACACACAATGATGTCCTTAACCTTAAGGTGTTCTACAGCGTACTGCACAACCGAAAGCGCGCTTATGTCATTGCTCACCACAAGGTTTGCCACGTTGCGATGAACAAACATTTCACCGGGTGCAAGACCCGTGATCTCCTCAGCAGGCACACGAGAGTCAGAACAGCCGATCCACAAGTATTGCGGATGTTGGCCTTGCGCTGTCTTGTCGAAATAATCCGGGTCGAGTAGCTTTTTGCCCTCACACCATTTCTTATTGTTTTCAAACAGACGCTCAAGGGACGTAGGCAGTGTCATGTTGGAAGCATGAGCCAGATGGGAGGGAGCACGAGCTATCAGCCTCGACGAGGTATTGAGCAATCGAAACGACATCATGTTCACACTGAGAAAAAGTAAAAGTGTCAGTACCATTCGTGCTGTCGATCCCCACCGAACACTTGACCATTTAACACACTGTACAATCGCATAACATGAATTATCACAGGCACTGTAGACCGTATTTTAAGTTCAGAAGTAACATTGTGAAGTACCATAATGCATTTTGTTGGTCAGTACTTGATACGACAATCTTATTTTGCATCGCCGTGATAAAGTTTTGGCTCAGTTGGGAAACTTTCAATATTTCACGCTCACACTAATTCTTTTTGTGATCGTGTAGCTTATCTGAGCTTACAAACACCATCATATGCTTAGAAAACTAGTTTTTCCTTTGGAGCATATCAATGTTCTAGATGCATCGAGCATGATGATCGTGCGAAAGAATGTTCAGAGCATCGTGACTTTATCGGGGCGTCGAACGCAGTCAACCTTCTCAGCATTAGTATCCGTAGGGTAGACGTTAATGGATACTTGAAAGCATTCTACAAGTTCGTTAAGCTGTAAATGATCGGTCGGCTTTTAGCTGGACGGAAGAGACCCTACATATAGAAATCCCCTTATAGCAGCAGTGGCGCTTAAACACTATTTTTACAATCTTAAGAAGGTTTCCTTACTCTTGCCCGGTAAGTGCCAAGACACGCAGTGGAAGACGCTCCTGGCGTTCGTCGTGAAAGAGATAATTACATGGTGGTTATCACGAACAATTTCAATAATTACGGCCTCGCTAGCTCCTACGGGCATTATCACGACGGCAAATGAGGAGTTAAAGCCAGTAATTGCCTTTAGTTTGTAGCCAGAGCTAGGATAATTTAACTTATCCGGCAGCTCCATCTATCGATACCCAAAAGTAACCTTCTCACAAATCATCGCCTTAGCTATTGATGGTATCAGGTCTCAAATACGTTAGAATTTGCAAAATTAGGATGTCACGATTGTGTGAAGCTATCCTCCGTTTTGCTCACCAGATCATATCCAAGAGCAATACTGATCGTTAAGGCATTCTTTTGACTAGCAAGGACGTTTCCAAGCTTATCCTTAAACTCACCAGGGTGAAACCCCTCGTATCGGTGTGGTTTTTTATTGCTTTAATCCCTCTAGCTGGCGTTTGCTACATATATATGACAAGGATAATCCGGTGAAACTGACTAATATGTTATTCAAAAGGGAGAATAAAAAAAATGCTCAACTTTTGCCATATATTAAAAATATCCCAACTTTTCAAAAAATAAAAAAAATACCCCAGCACGTAAATTATCACC